TAGACTTGCTGTTATGTTTCTCGCTATTTCGTTTTGAAAATATACATAAGTACACCTTTTCTCCAGTTTAAACCTGACTGGACACGGCTACATTTACCACCCTCGCCTGAACTAGGGCGCAAGCTCACCTCTATTACGAGAGAAGAATTGTTTGGGGCGTCTTAGAGGGTAAAATATGGGTTACTTAAATATATGAAAGGGAAAAATCTTTATTGTGCTGCATGCTACGTAATACATAGAAATACATTGTCCAGGAATGGGAAGGCGGGAAAGGTATACACGTAGCCCACTCTAAAGGTAACGAAAAATTGTAAGGATTACTTATATGGACCCCTAAGCAGGACATGATGACACGAATCGCCTGCAATACAAGTGTCTTTGTGCCAACTTTCACTGCAAATATGGTTAGGATTAGGTTTAAGGTTAGAGCTAGCTGTAGGATTTATGGTAGGGGTGGGATTAAGATTGGGGCCACAATTTAGGTTCATGTTAATGAGTACTTATCTTTCCTGGAATTATGCGCAATGCCATCTTTATTACTTGCATCGGCCGGTTCCTGTTTTCATTTCCTATTAGAGGACTCACATAAAGAATCCTTAGCGCGTATTTAGTAATTTCACTTTGTTTTGTTTATCATCCCACCAACGGGTCGCTATAGCTCCTCCATTTCATTCACCTACCCCAAATTCTCCCTTAAGTCGCCCTTGACTTTTATGAGCCTTTTAAAAGCCGCGCTTCACTTGCACCAACAAGACTGGTCTTAACTGAACAAGATGCCGTTCAAAATTGGTAAAGCCAAGTTTTGCTTGTTACGTTAATTATACATTTGTTCTGCTCAAGAAGAGAGTGACTGCAGCACCCCACGAAGCCCCAACTCACTTCTCGCTGTACATTCAGTGTGGACTAGAGTAACAACGACCAATTGACATACTTTACGGCCGAAGTAGTTATGTGAAACTGATGACGAAAGGGCACAATCGTCCTTCAAGCCCCAAGTTCCCTCCGTAACTACCCTCCTCCTCCTCCTATTACACAAACCTAACCACACGGGCTTCTCTTACATGCCAGGCAAACTACATTGCATCAATGCCTCTCACGGAGTGCACTGTGTTCACCGTCTGTTTTTGCCTACTGAATCCTCACGCCACCTTTTGAAGGCAGCGGATAACTACTTTCGGCCAATAAACTTCGGCCCAATTAATCAAAAAGTAGGGCCAATAATGTCGTATATCGGTAACCTTTTAAAAGCGTTCATTCGTATCAACATAGTCTACAGACCCGGTGCCACTATTTCGCGCCAGTTCATGGTATCTGAGACCACGCTGTCATTAGACGAAATATACCATGTGGTTCATTGGGTGTTAGTTTAATCTTCCTGCGGACAAGTCTATACTGGTCCCTCCAGTCATCCGGTGGGTGCAAAAGTGCGTGGCGAGCACGTCATAGCAGTGAAGAGGATAGCCTGCTTCGACGAGAACCGGCCACGCATTCAAAATTGATGAGGCCGAACTTCTCGCGAGAGATGACAATCGTGTGAACCACTAGTCGCGATTGTCACCTCTCGCGAGAATTTCGGCCTCATCAAATTTGAATGTGCGGCCGGGTCTTGTCGAATGAGCCGCGATCTGGCTTCATTTTTCTGCACTGCTGCTGTGTGTTCGGCAGTTCTCGTGTAGAGAAGTCTTCCAGTTTGTCCGACGTAGTTGCTTTGTCCGCAATTGCACCAGATGTTTCTTACCGTGGCAGTGACTCTTTTTGTGTAATTATCTGACGCCCTATGGTTGCCTCCGGCCTGTATGCGACTTATATGTGCTTGAGTCATGGCTTACGACCCCCCAGACGGATTTGGAAACTTCAGGCGAATAAAATAATTGTCCTAGCAATCACACCTCCGTCTCAACTACTTCCTGAGACTTACATTTTCGCTTGTATTGAAAAAAAGACTAATTGTCTTTGGTGCAATTTCTGAGCACGCTCGCCTCCCAGGCCGAGGAAACGAGTGGGGAGACGCCCTAGGCCTGTTGTGTGGGTCTGACGTCAATTAACCATGCGATCTGCAGTTTGCAGCTTGCCAGGCGGTATGCGTACATATCTACGAGCAGGGCCGCTGACGAAAATGATACTGCCATGCGGGCGCAAGAGGATTTCTAGTAGTCTTACAAAACTGGGCGGCAATAGGTCGGCGTAGATCGATGGCTGCTGCCGCCTCCGTTGCGTTGTTGACGGGGCGACGTCGCCTCGACGGTTATCCCTTTGTGTCGCTTTGTTGAGGCCAGTGATGGGCCGGCGGGCCTAACATAATCCGTCCTCGCAGCACCATCTTTAGTGCTAGCAATTAAAATGCGTTTGAAACGTGGGGGTTGTAAGCATGCGGTACCTGATAGTACGCGTCGTTCGTTGTGGCCAGGAGGAGATGGTTTCGCTTCACTTCATTCTACGTAGGTTGTGC